TTTGAAATGTTCCTATTGAAAACCTCAAAGTTTGATCGGACTCATGTCTCCCGACTTTGAGGTAAAAGTTTGTGGTACTGGTCTACCGATACTGAACCACTGAACGATTAACTGCGTTGAAGCCTTGAGGTGGGTACTGACCGACGCTACGAGGTGTAATGTAACATTCCACCGAATATGTTCGCATCGCGTATGTACGCATTGTGTTCGAAATCGGTGTAACATGCTCGTTTGAAATATGTGCTCCATATTCGCACCAGCCAAGATGTCTGACGAGGAGATTGTGTTGGGATCTTTGATTTTGCTAAACTATTGTTTAATCCAAATTAAGAAGAAGAAAAAACGTTATTGGACGTCAGACTTATTCAAAAACAGACACGTATCGGGTGGTTTGTCATTGATAGCAATATTAAAAAACCAAATGATTAGTGGACAGTATAAAAACATTGTTCGCATGTCTCCGATCGATTTTGAAGAACTCGTGAGTTTAATTGGACCAAAAGTACATAAAAAGGATACAAATTATAGAAAAGCAATCAGTGTCATGGAAAGATTGGCACTAACACTACGTTTTTTATGTGACAGGAGATTCCTATACTAGTATGCAATCGCTTATCAAGATTCAACGCTACTGATAGGATTTATAGTTGAAAGAGGTCATCGAAGCTTTGATTGGAGTATTACAAGATTACGCAAAGGTACGTACTGTTTTTGATTAATTGAGAAAAAAGTATTCATTACATATCAAATTAGATCAGCAAATTCTGATGGAAATTGTTCACTCGAAGTTGGAGACCCACAGTCAATTTGATCAGGCGTAATGTGAAGCAGGTGCTTCAGGGCTTTGCGCTGTGCATCGATGGAGCCTTGAAGTTTGTTGGTCGTGTAGAGTATCCTTGTGAAGAATTATAGTTATAATCGCCAACATACTCATACTCTCCGCGATCAGCACTAAACAATATATTGATATGTAATGCTGACATATGTACTTGTTGTCTTTGAATAAGATCTTAATTATCTGCCAAAAAAATACCATACGCTTCACATTCGTCAAGTTTTTGTGAAGTTGACTCCGTTTTCTCGGTTCTCTTTTTTAAAATATTTATTTAAAGTAGATGTCATTATCTCTTCCGGGTTGGGGGCTACTGCTTTCTTCCTTTTTGGAGGCAGAGGCAATCAATGTTGCTTTGGTTTGGCATAGGAGGGCACTCCAAGTGTTGCTTTGTTCTGAAGGAGCAGCGCGTAGCTGGAAAATAAACGTACATAATTATTTCAGATGCCAGAAAACACCGGAGCAATGGATGGCTGTAGCAAATGAGTATGATACTTTGTGGAATTTTCCACACTGCCTAGGAGCAATCGATGGAAAACATATTATACTGCAGGCACCGATCAACAGCGGAAATGAATTTTATAATTCAAGGTTTCCTCAGCATTGTATTATTGGATAGTTTTTGATGCAAAATATAACTTTTTGTACGTATGCATTCATGAAGTCAAGGAGAATATCCGATGGAGGGGTCTTCAACAACTGTGAATTAACGAAAAAATACAAAAATAATGCACTGAAAATTCCTGAGCCCACTGATGGCCTTGCCATCAAGAAACGGAAGAAGTTCCATATTACTTGTGTTGAGATGAAGCTTTTGCTCTATCCGAAAATATGATGAAAGTATATTCAGGATATCATGAACGTGGTTCTAAAGAAAGAATATACAACTACCGACTTTGCAGAGCTCATAGAGTGGTGGAAAATGCGTTCGGCTTATTATCTGCAGTTTTAAGAGTTTTGCGGAAACCAATGCTGTTAGAACCAAAAACCCGCAACAATCTGTTGAAACAGCAATACACTACTTCACAATTTTTTAAGAAAAGGTAATAACGCTCATGTATGTACCCCTGCGGGTAGCTTGGACGAAGAAACTAATGGGATAGTCAGATAGGAAACTGGAGAGAAAGTAACAATGATATGGCGAGTATGTTACCCTTGGAAATAAGACCGCGAAGGCTTCAAGAACTGCTCATAATATTCGTAATGAAGTTGCTGAATATTGCATCCAAGAGGGTCTGTCAGCTGGCAAGAAAATTATGCTAAAATAAAACTTACCGTATCTGTTGTGGCAACAGGTGTATTTCTATCCAGTAGAAACATCATAGTTTTGTATGCAAACCAAGTACTATGATATACTTCTTCAGCACCTGAAAATAAAGTATTTTTGGATATAAAACATACCTATATTTATTTTATTTATGTTGTTCTTAAACTAATCTACTGCCCTCGTTTTGTCTTTGATCTGACACGTGGCAGCATAACTTGACATACAACTTAACTTTAAAATGTGGCTGAGTATTTTGGGGGCTAAAGCTACCCTTTCCTGTACCTCTTGATCTTTTTATTTCACTTTTTCCCTCCTCAATGACGCCAGTAAGCTTGTCATTTTCGTTTTTACACGTATTTCTTTCGCTCTCCATTAACAAAGCCAATCTATCCCAGGTGTCTTCTTTTTTAATTTGTTGTAGTGCTCTGGATGAGCTGGATTCCACAATACCGATTCTTCTCTATATTTTTCGATGAAATGCAGAGTTCTTCTTGTTCCACCCCATATTCCTAATAATAAACGAACAAATAACGAAATGAACAACGTGTGCGCGTGCGCTTCATCTAGTGCGCTCGTCACGACTTGTTGCAGCGTACTGACCGAACCGCGTAACACTCAAAGGATTCGCCGAAAAACCGACAGCCGGGTGGAGCAACTCAAAGCGAGCAACGAGCGGCTCGTTGCTCGCTGGTTTTCCCGTAATGCTGGCAGTACACGCTCGTCGAAGCCATCCGAATGCGAGACTCCCCGATGCGAGGCGCCCCGAGGCACGAGGCCCGAGGACACCGTGTATACTCTCGCAGTAAACATCGAACCGGCTCCTGGTCTAGATTCGTGCGAGTGATGGCCAAGATCGTGGAAATTTGTGTAGCTGTAGCCTATGCTGCTTATTGTTACTATAAATATTTGCATATTATATCAACTTCAAAAATCAAGAAGCCTTGGAAGAAAAGAAGATGGTGGGTGAAATCAATCAATCGAAATAGAACGAGTAGGTATATACTGACATTATTACGTAATTTGATTAGATTTTATAAAGTGTTTTGTGTTTGATTTGATTTTTTATTTTCGTATAGGGAACACATGGACAGACAGTTGAGCGAATTGTTAATGGAACCTGGTGGTGAATTTGAAAATTTTACTCGAATGCCTCTAGCTGATTTGAGTATCTTTTAATATAGTCTCACCAATTGATTTCCAAAAAAGATACTTCAATGAGACAGGCAATAACTCCAAAAATACGGCTAGCAATTACTTTGAGATATTTAGCCACAGGCGACAGTTCAAGAGCCTACATTATTTATTTAAAGTTTCAAGTGAAATAATATCGCGGATTGTTCCGGAGGTCTGTGCAGCACTGATGAGGCTTTGAAAGATGAAATTAAGGTAAATAGATTCATTTGCATTTATAGAGCTACAGTTTTATTATAAAATGTTTACATCTACATGTTGAAATGAGTAGTTTTCGAGTTGGTGTCTGTTTTTCCTCCAAGGTCATATACAGTGCTTGGCTGATAGGATCAGATTCCTGTATGTGTTCTTCCATTTGGTCCTGGGCATGCTCGTTGATACCCTGTGATGAGGCATAGGAACAGTTATTGCTGTTTGCAGATGTAGGTCGAGAATACGATAAGGAAATTAGCGATGAGTTCGAAGGTGGTCCATTGGAACAGGATGGCCTGGCGACGGAACCATGAGATGGATGCATTGCCCTGAGGACCATTTCGTTAATATCATGCATCAAGTATTCTCTTTGAAATTCCGGAATTTTTCGTAGTTTTTTCGCCAACATTCTACCGTATAAATCGCACTCGTCCTCTTTTTCATCATTTCTGGACACAACATTCTTCACCCATGAGAAGGCTTCCTTCATTTCACTTTCTGCTTGAAGCAATTCCGTAGGAACTTGGCGACGACGATATCTTTGCTGAGAGATTGGTAAGGGTGTTGGTCGGTGAGGTTTGGCTACAAGTGCTGCTTGCTGAGACTTAGCTGAGGGTACAACATTCACTACTTCATTGATTTCTGATTCTGATTCTTGAGATGTGGGCTCGAGGGTTTCGTTATCAAGAGAAATCTGAAAAATAAATACATTTTATTACATATTAACAATATTAACAATAAATGTAATTTCTTATCTTTTTGCAGATGCCGTCAACTACAGATGAGTGGATAGAAATTGAAAAAGGATTTAGAGATAATTTTCCCCACGCCATTGGAGCAATCGACGGAAACATGTTGTAATCAAATGTCCTGATCACACTGGATCAGAATATTACAATTACAAAAGAACCTTTAGTATTGTTCTTCTAGCTGTAGTAGACAGTAAATATCGATTTATATTTTGTGACATTGGAAGCCAAGGAAGAATCAGTGATGGCGGCATACTTAGAAATAGTGTGTTATGGAAAAATATTTGTGAAAATAAGATGAATTTTCCTCCACCTTGCCCCTTACCCGGATTAAACGTCGATTTACCATATGTTTTCTTGGGAGATGGTGCTTTTGCATTAAGCGAGAACTTAATGAAGCCATATCCTGGCGATCATAAATTGAATACTCCCAAACGTATTTTCAATGAAACATTGTCAAGGTCTCGTGTATTGTCTGAAAATACTTTTGGAATATTAACTTCCAGATTCCGATTTTTCAAAAAGCCAATCGAATTGATGCCCGAAAAAGTGACGCAGTTAACAATGACATGTGTACTTCTACACAATTTTCTTATGAAAAGTTCTAGTTCAAAAAACATTTATAACCCGTCGGGCACTCTTGATAAATATGATAACGGCGTTTTTATTGAAGGGGCTTGGAGGCAACAAGTACCTCAAAACTGTGCTATTCGATGTGTACCACATATTGCTCGTCGATCACCGATTAGTGCGACTAAGATTAGAGATAATTTCACTGAATATTTGTGAATTTAAGAAACAAATAAAATATTGTATGACAAGTAATAAGTAATAGTTATTTTATTGAATGTACCTACCGTGTCTTGACTGTTTATGGTAGGGTGGCAGTCATATATTTGACCAAGAAAAGTTTCCATAAAGCTGTATGCAAACCATATAGGCTTGTATATATAATCGCCCCCAGCACCGCTCCTAATGGACGCCTTGTTCCTTCTTAAGTGACCCCGGAAAGTGGCCATTAAAGAATCTTTTTTCTTCTTTAATTCTGCCACAGATTTGCCTGTAGATTCAGAGATTCGATTCCAGGCGTCAGCTAATTTCTCTTTTCTTTTATGATTTTCGTCAGAGGGATCCCACAAACAAGGTTCGCTCTGAAAAAATTCCTAAAATCATTTGTCCACTCCATTTTAAAAATAAACAATGTCAACCAATATAGCCGCAAACGAAAACTAATCACGCCACAAATTCCACTGTACAACAAGAGACCAGCGTGTGCCGAGGTCGCCCGAATATACCATGTCCACGCTCGCGAGACCTCCCACTTACGCTCTCGGTTCCGTTGACTCGCACTGGGAGACCGCTTCTACACCGAGCGCTCCGAGGGCAAGGCGAGAGGGTCTAGGGCGAGGCGGGAATAGTAAGTACACTCTCGCGCTCGTCTCATCTCGGATAGCCTCGGCGAGCGTGTACTGCCGGCATAACACTACGTACTGACTGCATGAATGTTCGGTGTGTAACATGTTACATTACGCCTCGTATCGTTGGTCAGTACCCACCTTTGAGCGTTGTTTCTGTATCACTGTATCACTGGTTGCATAGCATAGCATATATATTTTTGTTTTGATGTCGGTCGCACCGGCCGCTTTGATTTAAATCATTTAATTTTTCACTTTTTTAAACTTTTTAATTATGTTCAAGTTCAATTTCTCAGCAGATAATACGGCAGAAGCAGAAGAACAACCCAAAGGTAATTTGTTATGCAAATTCCTTATTTCGATAACCTCACTTTCTTCTCTACAGTTATTCAAACTGAAGAAACATGGGAAAAAAGCAAACAAATACAATTTAAGGACAGTAGCATTTTACAAGACATTTTAAAAAATGCCTCAACTATCAATTTACCAAACTACCCTGATTGCAAATACATAGACCCATCAGAAATTGTGGACATACTTCAGGACAGTGAAAATGAGACCCCAGTGCTAAAAGCAGAGCAAAATCATTTAGATTTGATACCCGCTGTATACGAGGGAGGTTTAAAAATTTGGGAATGCACATATGATCTACTAAGTTATTTAAGTTCAGAAAAAATACAACTTGAAGGTCTAAAGGTACTTGATCTAGGTTGTGGCTCAGGTATTCTAGGGATCTATAGTTTGTCACTTGGGGCCACATGTTACTTTCAAGACTATGTAAGTGTAGTTTGAACAATCTTCTTCATATGCCCCTTTTCTGGATGTTGCACAAAATATCTAAAAATAGCCTAGTAAAATACAGGATCGGATTATTTTGCCTTACATAACATGTATAATTATATAATTAGTTTATTTTTCAAATATTATATATTCCAGAATGAAGATGTTTTACAATATTTTACAATACCCAATGTTCTAGTGAACAACAAAGGATTATTAGAAAGAAGCAAATTTTATTCTGGTGATTGGGAATCGTTTGCAAACTTAATTGGTGATAGCTTGACAGAAGATGAAAAGTTTGACTATATTTTCACCTCGGAAACTCTGTACAATGTACAGTCATATCCAAAAATACATAAAGTATTTAAGTTACTTTTGAAAAAAAGTGGCAAGATGTATCCTTTAGTAAGGCATATGATGATAAACTTTTTAAAAATTCTTGCATATCTGAGCTTGGATGCAGGAGCTGATTTGAGATGATGCACTGTGTGTTAAGCCCCAAAACTGAGTTCCAGAAGCCCAATAGAAGAAAAAAATTGAGTGAATCGTGATGATTTTGTCTCCCCTCCATTTCCACAATTATTACCATATGAGGTTACTCTGCATCACATAAGGAGTCAATTTGATCAATGAGACCTACAGTCACCCTAGATAGCTTACTTTCTACCCCAAAATTGCTGAATTTTCAAATTATATTTTCTTTAATGTCACAACAGATATCTTGCAGCAAAGAGTTTCTACTTTGGTGTAGGAGGTGGCATTCCATATTTTAAAGAATATTTAGATAAGAACAAAGTTTTCAAATACCTCACAGTTTCAGAACATTCAAGTGGAGTTAAAAGAGCTATACTAGAAATAAAATTCATCTAATATAGTATGCAGTTTTATTGCACTAATGGTTTATCATCTATTTGGAAGACATTGATTATCAAGTTCTTAATATTAATAAGGTAAAATGTAATGCAGCAAATACTGTACAGATGTAAAGATAGCAAAAACAAATATATAAGTATAAAAGATGAAATTTTGGATCAAATCAGGTATAATAATAATGTTTATTGAAAAAAAAAATACAATTTATGAACAAAAGAAACACGCATATTCTGCAATAAATATACACGACACCACAAAAAGCAAATGCTTGTGCATGGGGAAATATACTTATTGAGGTCATACACTGTCAACTTATCATTGCCCTTCTAGTACATGTTTACCTATATGACATTGAATATCTATAGAAGAAGCTATTAAAATATACAAGGCATTCAACATTTTTTAATAGTAAAAGCCTACATCTGAAAAACAGAAATATGAAAGAATTACCTAACCAACAGTTTACTGATTTATTAAAACATAGGTATATACTTTTTAAGTGATACTAAAGACAAAGAAAAGAGTAATGAACTTTATCGACAAAAAAACAATAAATGAGTCAAACGTATTTTATATAATAAAATTGGTAATAAACTTTTAAATTTCAACATGACCCTTTAAATGTAAATGAAAAATTTTACGTATTTTCTATGATTTTGTGAACTTGTTGTTTCAAGTAAGAACAATATATTTAAGTTCCAAATACCTAGGTGAGATTTAGTATTTTAAACAATCCAATTCTAATATGATTATTATGCTTTTGCCATCTTTCAATATCTTAACAAATCTACACCCGTCTCTAACAAACACTGATATCCCTCGCACAATACATTGCCTAAAATTACCTACAAAAATTGCCTAAATTTGTTCTTATAATAATGGAATTACTTAATGAACTGATGCTAAGGTTCTGGATCTTTTGAGTCAGAGTTAGAAAATCAACTTTTTGCAATATATGAAAAAGAGCAGAAATTTGAACTGGAGATTGTTGCTATTTACAAAAAAATTAAAATAGGTGCCGGAAAAGACCAGAGTTAAGGAAACAGTCGTTCATATATCCAACCATCTTCACCACGATGCGTCAGTATACCATCTGGTTCATCTGTCTTTGGTCTGCGAAATCTGATTCTATCATGGATTCTATCTGTTTGACCTTGCCAGAATTCTATGGTATAAGGTTTAAGAATATATCCACCCCTGTAAAAAAATGAAATACTGATACATATTATTTGACCGCGGGGGAACATTTGACCATAAAGTACATCCTTAAACATTATCTAGTATTGGCCTTGAAAAGTAACCTTCAACAGATTTAACTTTAAAGTGGGCAACCTAGTCGATAGTTTTTAGTTCTAGAAGCTTCCCCTCTCTGTCCTGTGGTTTGAAAATCTATTTTCAAGGTTACATCTCAAAAACGACGGACTCCATAGCAACACTAAACGCGCTCAAAGTCGAGTGTTTCAAGGTCAAATGATATCAATGTTGGCACCCCAGGTCAAGCTTGGAATTAGTACATAAGGTCCACTCCCACTTGGAACATTTACTATCTACTTCCATATTATAAGAATTCTATATTTACCATAAAGGAGGTCTAGGCACCTCTCCTTCTTTATACTTCTCCTTCAGTTGTGATGCAATCTGTTCTATCTCATTTCTGCTAGATACAGATTTGCTTTGATCACTACATAGAGCTCCAATCTGACTCTGATAAGGTCTGTTTCTAAAGTACTGATCTGCATCCTCAAAAGGAAGCTTCTCTACATCCCCCTCAATTCTTACCTTAAAAAATATTTTGCAATATATCTTCTTTTTTTTACCTTATCAACTGGGATTTTACAATGTATTATATTATCTGAAAATGATATCTAGTATTTATTTGTTTATTACCGATCTACTATAATGTTCCCAGTAAAAGGTCAAAGCAGCTCTCGGATTTTCTGCCTATAAAAGCAAAACAATTAAAATGTTTCTGATTTCATGTTCTCAAAACGTACTAACTGTTGTCCTTTCCGACTACTATAGTGTGTGAAAAATATGAAACCTTCTTTGCTATACCCTTTTAATAGGACAAATCTTGCTGATGGATATCCATCCCTGAAATACAACATTTCAAATGAAAGGTGAGAAGATCAAACATTTTATTGTACTAGACAAGATAAAAATGAAGCTAAATGTTTCTTCTACAACCATCCCAAAAAGTTGAAATTTGCTGCTGTAGAGCAATAAAGTAGCAAAAACACTTGCTAAAAATCTATATCTGTATCAAGAGATCTTTGCCTTGTGTGTCAAATGAATCATGTGACAAAGTAATATTCTGATTAATTATATATATTTTTGTGACGAATAAAGTTTGATATTTTATCTCTGTTGACAGGTAACAAAATGTCACTTTTTATGAAATTACTTTTATCCACGGAAAAAAAAAATGAGTACTTTTTTCCCGGATATTGTACAAATGATTTAGCTGGCAATGATTTTTGTGACACTCCTTTGGCCACTTCTACTAATTTCGGTGGAGTCTAAGAAAACTCAGATTCAGACATTTTTTACTTGGTAGTATTAAAAATCACTTCTAAACAACCACTAGGTTCACAATTTTTAAATCAAATCACAAAGTTATACTGACAGCTATTTGATTACCTTGAAAGTTTCCTTAGCAATGCAGGTCTAATTATCGCTATAAGTACAACGTAGCCTACTAATTTCAAAGTTCAAATTTCACATTGATAATTTTCTGACATATATTGTGATAATATAATTTTCCAATATTAAATGGACGTTTTTCCCGTTAGAGAAAAAAATTGTGTATGATACACTGGAAAAATACTAGATTTTAGCTTTCAGTTCTAGTACTTTTTTTCCCTTGTATGATAAATAACTATATTTCCAACAATAAACTTCAAATAATCCAGAACTGTCATTTACAGTGAACCAGATCAGTGTAGCTCATAGGTAGGAAACATCCTATCATTAATTTGTTTTAATGACTATGACTGATAGTTTCTCACAATTAGAAATTGCTTGGTGGAAATAACTGGTTGTGAAATGTAATTATGTTTGACAAAAAACGACATACTTTGTGCATGTTGACAGACACATTGCATTGGGTTCAACTGTCCTAGTGTCGGTCTTCACCACCTGGAACCATTTGTGGAACAAATCCAATGGTTCTTTTACCTCAATGTTGTCCTCGAGGAAATAATCATTTTTGTCGTGATATGGATGGCGCATACCTAAACAGAGTTTCCTGATCATTTTAGGATATAGTAAAAATCCTTTTGGTAAGGTTTCAAAGACATGGGTACTAAAAAAAGAGATTATTCCCTTATAATATGATAATGATCTTCACAACACCATTGAATCTATCAGCTTAAAAAGATTGAACTGTTCAAATAAATAATACTAGTAATATGCCTCAATCACCCATTGTGAATAGGTATGATATATATAAATTACTAAAATATGAGCAAAATCTTAAGACACATTTTCAACATTAAACATGAACAAGTGTTATATCTTTTTCAAATGAATTCCTTCTTGCGATTATTGATCTACAATATTTCCTAATAATATCGTTTTTACGTACCTGAGATATCCATGATTGGCGTCCTGTTGAATGTTCTTTGAAGTAGAGAGGAAAATGTATTACCTTGAAGGCTGAGATAAATAATTGTTTGTTTAACGTTTAATTGTAATATTTGTGCAAGTAATTTACCGGATTTTAGAAAGTCAAACAGAGGAATATGCATAGGGTCTAGAGCGCATACAATATCACATGTGGTAATCAAAAACTGGTCGAATCGAAGATACTTATTAGTATTTATCTATAGTTGATAAACTTGTCAAAACCACATACTCTTGCGCAATACTAATGAATAAAATCATTTAAATTTAATTCCATTTTCAGAGTTTGTTTTTGTATTTTGAAATGTTGAATGTTGACCGGATAGCTACTTTGTACTTTCATTAACATCTGACTACGTTTATTTTGAAAGAAAGGCTTATTTTATTCGTCATTGTTCTTATGAGAATATGTTGCAAATGAAAATCGTTGATGTTTTATTCCACCAAAATCTTTGAAATCAATTTTGCATTGTAGTTGGAAATTGTCTGAATTTAGATCCCTAAATTATACGAGAATGATGTAAACGTAGCCCATTCAAGAATCGGGTTAGTTAACATGTAACACATAGACAACCAGTAATTCTGTCGCTGAATTCCACTTACTCGATGTATACTCGCAGTAAGTACCTCAAATCAAAATCTAGCAGTGTTGCCAACGGAGTCTTTTAAATTTAAAAATTTACCAATTTTACATCTGCCAAATATTCATCAATTACAAAGCATTTCAGCTGAGAAACTAAATCCAATTAGATCAATTCAGTACTCGAACGTACCTATCTCAAATTGTTTCTAAACGTCTAAAGACTTTCCCGAAGTTACCTCAAAAAGATTCAGGTTTTTAAAATTGTTAGGTACATTATAGTTCTAAGCGTCACGGTCAGATGAGTGCCTAGTATCAATGATTTTTTTGTTCCTATGAATTTCACAGTACGCTTTATAGAATGCTATATCCCCGCGTCCAAAAAATTATCCGAGATGAACCGAGACACCCTAACGGCATCTATGAGAAATTGTAACAGCTGTTTCTCTATTTACTATACAGGGTGTTGATTAAGTATGTAGTATGAGTAATTTTAAGACAAAAGTTCATATAAACATAGGTCCGTAAATTCTTTGTTCTCAAGATACAGGGTGTTAACATTTAAAAAAATGGTTTTTCGTACATTTATTAAATATCCTTTGCCCGATTTTGTTGTAATTTGGCAATGGTACTTATGACACTAAGGAGCTAATTTTGCTTTGACTTGATTACAATTATCAAGTTCAGTGGCATCTCGAGCAAGATCTGAACGAATATTTGTGACAAAAAATATACACCACTAACTTTTATGCAATATTTGTTATGTTCTTTGGACAAAGCAAATAGAAATACTACTTTTTTGTCTCTTGAATGAAGTACACTTACTTGCAAATCACTGGACCACACAAAGAATATGGGCAAACGTTCCTGTTGGATTTTTTTTATAATTTTTATTACTAATTATGTAACAACAACAAATAAA